TTACCCCAATTAAGCCTTATTACCCTGATTCTGCAAGGTATCACTCTTCCATTTGAAATGCTTACTGTCATCAAACACCATAGCAAACACTTTACATGGATTATCTCACTTAATCTTTGTAGTAACTCTGACGCAGGTACTCTGATGACCTATTATTGTTTTTTTTTATTATTATTTTATTTTTGCAGTATTCCCTCCTCTCCCCTCCCCCCCTTGATAACCAACAAAGAATGTTTCCTTCCATATATAAACCTTTCCTTGACTTCTTACAATGAACTAATACAGTATTTGTCCTTCTGTGATGGACTTATTTCACTCAGCATAATGTCCTCCCTGACGGCCCCATTTTAAAGAAGAAACTGAGCCTCACACTTTTGCAAGAAAATGGGAGATTCAAAGCCAAATCTATCCGGTATGAGATCAAACTTTTTAAGAATGGAAATCCACCACACTAGCTCCCCCACAGGGCCAAAGGCACTTGGGGTTTATTGCTGCAACACTCAGTCCAGGCTCTTGCGCCAGAGCTGAAGGCAATAGGCAATTACAGGTTTTATTTCTAACAATACACTGGAACCCCCAGAACTATGTACTGTGTGTGCATGAAAGGGAGAAGGGGAGTGGAGGCCAGCGCTGACTGAGCCTCTGGGTGCTTTAAAACAACCCCTTTCCCTTCTTAGACACTCTGGACCAGGAGCTAGACAAGCAGGCAAGGGTGTGTATGACAGGAAGAAATATTTCTTTATTTTTCTATTCCAGACACTTCCTCTTCGTGCTCCTTTTCAATAATTCACTCCAAGCATAAGCTCAGGCAACACGGCATGATAACAGCAAATGCCAGAGCAAGAGCTGCCATGGCACGCTGAACACATACCATGAATTAGCAATGTACCAAGTTCCCTGTAGGCTTTATCTCATTTCATCCTCACTTCAGCCACTTTGTTGCGTGCTCTCAGGTGGACTCTGACTCCAAGCAGCCCTATATGAGAGTATAGGGTTCCCTGGGCTATAATCTTTAGGGAAGCAGATTGCCAGGTTTTCTCCTGAAGAGCCTCTGGTGGGTTCAAACTGCTGACCTCTGGATTAGCAGCCAAGTTCTTAACTATTGTGCCATCAGAACTACCAAATATTCTCTTTTTACAGGTGAGGAAATCGAGGCATACATGATTTGTCCAAGGGTATAAAACTATTAACTAGTAGAGTTAAAATTCTAACCTAGTCTGTCTAACCTGGAAGCTCAGACTCTTAATTTTTACAGCACTGTTTGTAGGATGCATAAAAATTGCCCCAAAAGCTTATGAAAATGCAGAGTCCTGGGCCCTTCCTTGGCACGGGTCTGAGGTGGGGCCCAACGGTGTTGGTTTTTTTTTTTTTTTTAAATATGCTCCCAAGGATTTTGATGCAGAAGATCAGCCTCTGAGAAACAACACACCTTTGTGGTGTGATGGATCGCTTTTATCTGGCCTTTCTAGCCATGGTCTTGTAACTTCTACCAAATTACTGGCTGGGATTATGCAAAGAAAGTGTTTGTGGCTCACCAAGGCAATTGAATAGCTTGCTAATAATGCAAAAAATGTATATAACAATTTGTGGGGGTGGGACCACGCATACAAGGTATATAGAACCCTAAAAGGAGATTGGTCAGCTCTGCCATCCCACTAGGCTTAAAAAAGAGAGCCAATCACAGAGCAAGTGCAGGAGGACCTCACTACCACCAAGAAAGAAGAGCTAGGATTGGAGTGCATCCTTTGGACCCAGGATCCCTGTGCTGAGAAATGCCTAGGCTCATAGCAACTCCTCCTTGGGTTTCTGAGGCAGTATCTCTACAGAAGTAGATTGCTCAGTCTTCCTTCCGAGGAGTGGTTGGTGGGTTTGAACTGCCAGCCTTCTGGTTAGCAGTCAAATGCCTTAGGCACTATGCCACCAGAGCTCCCTCCTAGACTCAGGAAAGAAAGAAAGAGACCTGTAACACCAGAGAAGGTGTGAGACAGCAAGCAGCAGCAGCAGCACAGAAATAGTGGCAGCAGAGGCAGCAGAACCAGGAGACGGGCAGGAGACGACACAGTGTACTTCCCAGTCCTTGGAGCAAGAGAACTGAGCACCTCCAGGCAGGAGGCTTGCTGGAGGAGTGGCACTTGTCAAGGGAGCTAGGCACTTATCGGTGGAGCTAAAGAGCTCTGTAAGACTTGTTCAAGAAGGGCAGAGATCAGGTCAACCCAAGAAGTCCAAGGGGTCAGGGAGATGCCTGGCTGTGGACACAGCTGAGAAGCTGTCCTGAACAAAGAATTGTATCCTAAATTGTGCCTGATCCTGAATTGTGGCTTGTTACTTCCCTAATAAGCCCCATAAACCTGAGTGTTGCCTACGAATTCTGTGTGGCCAATGCAACAAATTATCAAACCCAGCAGAGAAGTAGAGAGTGCCCTAGGAGGGACAGCTGGTGTCAGAATTGGTGAAAGGTGGGAGGCTGGAGATATGTTTGACCTCTACCTCACAAGAATCAGCTTTGGGCTGACGCTGATAATGATTCTCCTTCCCTCTTGTGAAGCTAGATGAGGTCAGACATCACCTCCATGCCATTTTTACAACTATGGTAATGTTTTCCCAAACTCTGTTCCACGGGAACATTAGTGTCACAAAAAAAGTTAACTAATGTAAAAAAAGGGGGGAAGGGAAGGTTCTGTGGTTAAGTAAATTTGAAAAATACTGCGTATTTTATCCTTCTCTGCCAGATTATGCACATTAGCAAATTAAGAATTCTGAGATGTCCTGAAGTGTATTCAGCTGTATTTAACAGAGTATTTCCCAAACTTATTTAACTACAGAATTCTCTCCCTATTAATATCTTACGAGACTCAGCAAATGGAACAGAGCTTGGAAAACTCAGCTAGGTTAAACTTCCTCCTACACCCAACCATGCTGGCCTCTCTCCTTCCTGCCTCAGCTAAGGGTACAATGAAAAGAATTTTAGACTCCAGCCCTGCACTCACTCTCACTTGTTATTTACGACCTTGGGCAAGGTACTTAGCCTCTCCGGGCATGTTCCTCAGTTGTAACTTGGGGGTCATAATTTCTATTAGCATGCCTACGGGCTCTCATGACTGAGATAGTAGAGGTTCACATGTTGGGTAAACAGTACAGAGCTGTACACCATTGAAGGGTTCTTGCCATGTCTTTTGTATATGACTATACTCAGTCACCATTACCCATCTGTCAGTTTGTCATACTGCTGCACGTTGCTATGATGCTGGAAGCTAAGCCACCAGTATTTCAAATTCTAGCAGTATTTCAAATACCCAGAGTGGACAGGTTTCAGTGGAGCTTCTGGATGAAGACAGACTAGAAACAAAGGCCTGGCAATCTATTTTTCAGAAATTAGCCAATAAAAACCCTGTGGATCACAGCAGCATATTGTCTGCTATAGTGCTAGAAGATGAGCCCCCTTAGGTTGGAAGGCACTACACTAGGGCCTCAAACATGCCACTGATCACGAAGATGGCACAGGACTGGGCAACATTTTGTCATGTTGCACATGGGGTCGCCATGAGTCAGTGCTGTCTCAAGGGCAACTAACAACACAGTCAGTGGAATGCTGTGTAATATTGTACCTGTTCTTTGCCAAATTTTTCTTGCATGTGTTCTGTTTCCTAAATTACTATGTGAACTTGGGCAACTCAGGACCCTCTCTGGGATTCAGTTTCCTCACCTGTAAAATGAGAGTTTGAACCCTCTCAGCACTGGGATCTAGTAAAAATCATAATAAAAAATCACTGTCATTGAGTCAATTCCAACTCATAGTGACCCCTCCTTGGGTTTCCAAGGCAGTATCTCTATGGAAGTAGATTGCCTAGTCTTCCTTCCATCTAGTGGCTGGTGGGTCACCAGCCTTGAATCACCAGCCTTCTGGTTAGTAGTCAAATGCCTTAGGCACTACACCACAAAAAGTAACACTGTAAAAATAACAGTGTAAAAAGTAACACTCTTATGTACCAAATACTTTACAAGCATCACCTCATTACTATTCATAACAGCTCTATGTGGTAGAGCCTATTATTTGGCCCTACTTCACAGAGGAGGAAACTTCAATTCAGAGACCCAAAATATGCCAAAGGGCTCAAAGCTATTTAAATGGTGGAGCAAAGATTTGAGCCCATGGGAGCTCTGGTAGCATAGTGGCTAAGGCATTTGACTGCTAACCAGAAGGCTGGCGGTTCAAACCCACCAGCCACTCCTCAGAAGGAAGATGGGGCAATCTACTTCCGTAGTGATACTGCCTTGGAAACCCAAGGAGGGGTCGCTATGAGTCAGGTCCGACTCGACGGCACATAACAAAAACAACAACAACTGATTCCAAACTGCACTTAACCAGCACTATTCTGTCACTCAACATAGAATTCTGGCCAAAGAATCACCTTTTTATGGTGTTCTTGGCTAGATCAAGACCGGCTGGCAAGTGGGGAAGAGGTATTTGCAGACCGCCTCAGGTTCTGATCTTAGTTCTGCTGCTCAACTGTGCATTTTCTAGGTTTTACTTTTCTTATGCGTAAATGGAGGTGTAGGACTAAGTCAGTGGTTAAAACAAGCTCACTTGTGGAGCTTGCTAAAACGACAGATTCTCCTCAACATTCTGAAGGTATACGTCTGGAGTGGGTGCGGGAACGTATTTTTATCTAACGCCCAATTTGACAGCGATGGAACCAGTGCTCTAAACGTTCTGATTACCCCGCCCGGGTCCCCCGCGGGTGGATGTAGGGTTCAGGCCAGACCCCGTCTAGATCTGTGGGATCCACTGTACCCAAATCCTTGCGTGCTCGACGTCAGAGGGTGCGCGACGCGACCTCCCAGACGCTCGGCCCTGCGTGACGTTAACAGGCGCGACTGGCCGTCCCTTTTCCTTTCTTTGCCCCGCGAGGTCTCGCTGAAGCGAAACTCAGCGTGGGAAGGGCGAGGAGAAAGAAGGAAAAATAAGACCCAGGAGTTCCGGCAGGGCCTCACAAACTCACCTGCCCGTACGGATAGCTGGACATGGCGACTCTGATGTCACACGTCTGCGAGGGGCGGGGCTTCCTGTTCTCCAACCCACCCGCATCTCACTGGATGTCCGCGACGGTTCCTCCGTGGGGCAGTCGGTTGGCGGATATGACGCTACGGGATGGCTGTCCGGAGCTTCCCTGAGATGCCCGAAGAGCTAATGAGTGCCTGGATGTTTCGGCAGATCTTGTTTGTGGTACTAACGCGCCTGTTCTTCCCGTTCCTAACCTGGAGTAGGCCCGTTGGTCAGGCCCGAGTATTTAGTGAGAAGTTTGGGTGGGGTGTTGCTGCGGCGGCCATGTTATAACCTGGCAAATGAGATGAATCATAGTAGCATAGTTACCGTTGTCACTTCACGTTTCTGCCTGAGGAGGGCCCAGGCGGTTGCCGTGACAACGGGGAACAGACGGAGGCCTCCTGGAAAGGATGGAGGCGGGTGGCGGATGCTGGAAGTCATTTCTAATGTCAAGACACCCCAGTGCTAATTAGTCATGAAGTCGGGTACGACTGCAGACCTGTACTCTCTGGAGAAGAAAATTTAAAACTGGGAGGAAAATTAGATTATCTTGTGCCTTTATTTAATAAATGGAGAAACTGAGGTCCAGAGCAGCAGTGATTTGTCCTAGTTCACAGTGGGTTAGCGGCAGTGTGGTCTTAGTCATCCATGGTCAATGGATGCCCAGTTCTAAACAGCAAAGTCTTCAGTGACGCCCATAACAGGTCAAATCCTGGTTACTAATGGACCTCACCGGAATGAAGATGGGGCAGTCTACTTCCGTAGTGATACTGCCTCGGAAATCCAAGGAGGGATCGCTATGGGTCGGGTCCGACTGACGGCACATAACAACAACAACAGCAATGGACCTCACAGCACCACATACTATGCCTCTTCCAGGAAGACCTGAATCATAATTCAGTCTCTACACTTGTTTGTGTGCTTATTTGGTTAAGTTCTCGCATGTGGGCAAGGATTATGTCTGTTTTGCTTACCTTTATATCTCCAAGTACCTAGCACACAAACAGTGCCTGACACCACTTTTATTTTGTTTTTAATAAGTAAATTATTAGATTCGTGTTTATGAGGTGTTATCCAGTCCAGCCCAAGTATATAACCATCCAGCCAGTGCTGATAATGCTTTCCTGTTCAGCAGCCTAAAATGACTCCTCTTCATCCTAGCCTATAAAATAAGGCCCCATTTCTTCATGCTGGTACCCCACGCCCCTCACAGTCTGGCCCAAGCTCACCTTTCTAATTGTGTGTCTTACAGCTCCTGTCTATCTTCTACTCTGTACCTCCTATGCTCAATCCCACCATTCTGCACTTTTGCTTTGGAGTGAGGATCTTGGTTTCAGCACTTTCTAACCTTATGACTCTTTGTCTCACCTACTTTGGTCGTGTCAGAAGGAACCATTCCCTGGAGAAGGATATCATGCTTGGTAAAGTGGAGGGTCAATGAAGAAGGGGAAGGCCCTCAATGAGATGGGTAGACACAGTGGCTGCAACGATGGGCTCAGGTATAGCAAGGATCGTGAAGCTGGGACAAAACCAGGCAGTGTTTTGTTCTGCTGTGCATGGGGTCGCTATGAGTCAGAGATGGCTCAGTGGCACCTAAGAACAACCACCACCACCACCTTATGACCTTGGGCAAGTTTCATAACCTCCTTGAGTCTCCATTTCCTCACCTGTTGGAAACAAACATGTAAAGAGATTTGAAAAATTAGGTTATTACACCTGCTTATGCTCAGCCCTATGCTCAAAGCACTTCTTTCACACGAACCAACAGTCCTCCCATCTTCCAGTCCCTTCCTCCACATAACCCTCTTGCATTCCCCTCAGTTAGAGAGTTTGTCACTCTCTTGCCTGTCTCCCTTTGTACTTGGTACCATCACTGTGCTATATACCAGCTTACCTGGTATAAGAGTTCTCTTTGATTTTTTCCCCCCAAAACCTGTTTCTCTTCTCCATCTCAAAATTCACCCCAATCCTCAGGTCAGTATTTAGGCTCATTCTTGAGTCCTCTGTTTCCACCCACTTACCCCTTCCATTTGCACTAAATAAACCCATATCTGCCCTGCCCTTTTCCTCTGTTTGCACTATCACCCTAGTCCAAAAAACCACCATCTGTGGCCTGTGTCTCTACAGTACTCTCCTGAGGAATGTCCGTGCTTTCACTCCCCCTCCCACTCTATTCTTCATAAGGCAGCCAGAGTAATTGTCTTAAAATGTAAACCAGACAATGTCCTGGACTTAAAGTCATCCAGCAGCTTCCTGTTACTCTTAAAATAAGATCTAAACTCATCCATGTGACCTTCACAGCCCTACATGACCTGGTAATAAAATCTAAACTCATCCCTTTGACCTTCATGAACGTACATGACTTAGACTGCCTGCATCTCCAGCCTTACTTTCTGCCCCTGCTGTCCTTGGTTCACTCTAGCCATGGTGGCCTGGTCTCTGCCCCTGAAACAGAACAAGCTCATTCTTTGGATTAGCTCTATCCTCTGGTGTGCCCTTCCCTCGATTCATCACTGGTTGGATTCCCTTTGTCATTCAGGTCTCAGTTCAAATATTTCTTCATTGAGATGCATTCCTTGATACCACATCTAAAGTAGCATATGCACACACACACACTCACACTTCAGGCAGCTATCATAGCACTGTGTCATGTTTTTTCATACTTGTCACTATTTGAGTTGTCTTCTTTAAGGTTTACATGTATATCTTAAGGCTCATGAGTATAGTGTAGGATATTTCTTATTCACTCTTCTATCCCCAGCACGTAGAATATTGTCTGGCATGAATTCAATAAATGCTGGTAGTTACTATTATTATCATATATTGAGTGTTTATGGGTTCCAAACACTATCCTAAGTATTATGTGTTCAGTTTTCACCACAATCCTTTGAGATAAGTGCTGTGATCTATTTATAGTGAGAAGCTGAGGCTGAGAGAAGCTAACTGACTTCCTTAATATCAAACAGATAATAAATGAGGAAATCATAATTTGCACCCAGGTCCAAACCCTCTTTACCCAGTGCTTGGAAATCGATAGTCATGTTTCCTTTACCTTCATATCCCTCTGAACAATGACAAGTCCGAAAAATATAGGGGGAATTGAATTATAAAATCTCTGAAAGGAAGTTGTCATGATGTCTAGGCTGAAAGTTAAGAGAACATTTGCTAAAATAGTGATACCTCACCTGCAAACTGGGGTCATGTGACATACACTTATTTATTCCACAAATACATGTACTTACTGAGTTCCCACCACTTGCCAGGTTTTGTTCTAGGCATGAGGATACAATTCCTATGGTTAGATAACTGGGCTAGACTGGATAATATCTCATAACACTAATTTATTCACATGCCCCACCCACTACCCCCAGCTCCCTCTGCCCAGCAAAGGCTTCTGAGGAGAACTTTCTGCTGGAGCTCTGTGTTATTTGGGTGCATGGGTATGTGAGTCATCTCTCAGGCAGGCAGAGACCAGCCAAAGCCAGTGGGTCCAGGGGTATCTCTCTGTGGACTTGGAGCAGGCCCAGGTTGTGCTGATCTTGGACAGGGCTAGGTGAAAGGGAGAGAAGGATCTTCCAAAGACTGAAAAACAAATCAACTCATTTCCAAAACCTCAACTACCTGAGGCAGATAGAGGTGGGTGGGGAAGTTCCTGTTATTATTTCAGCTTCAGCCAAAGGGGAAAACTTGGATTCCAGCCCTTTTTAGAGCACAGAGCAATTTGCTGAGCCCTGTGGTTGACCCATTAGAGGTGAGGCAGAGCTTGGTAATGGAAGGCCCATCCACTGGAAAATATTGCCTCCCCTAGAGACACATCATCCCTGTGGCCTCTTGGCTCAGCTTCAAGCTCTAGTGTTGCTTACTGAGAAGAAATATCAATATCCACCTAATTATTCTGGAATTAATTCTCTCAGATTCCAACTAGATCCAATTTCCAAATTTAAATTCCAGTTGGACTTTGTGGATCAGAGGGTGAGATGCAGCTTTCACTGAACCAACAGAAGAATGAGAACAGCAGACTTGGCAATTTGGCCACATGCCCCCTCCATTATGGCATCACATGGAGACTCTATTTATATATTCTATTCCTGTAAATAAAGACAACAAAAAAAGACCTAGTCTCGTAAGAGGTTAACACACCACGTGTGAAGAAAGTCTAAATTGATTTGAATCCCGATGATGGGCACATGTTATGACAAAAAGATTCAAATTCCAAAAGGCATCAAATTTGGGATTTTTCTCTGCAGAACAAATATGCAGCAGCCTTTCTCGTCTTACAGAGCAGAGGGTCTCTCAAATTAATCTCGCCCCCCCCCCGCATTGCCGTCCAGTTGATTCTAACTCATACAGACTTTATAGGACCAAGTAGAACTACCCCCATAGGGTTTCCAAAGATATCAATCTTTCAGAAGCAGACTGCCTCATCTTTCTCCCACAGGGTGGCTGGTGGGTTCAAACAGCTAACCTTTTGGTTCATAGCCAAATGCTTTAACCACACCACCACCAGAGCTCCTTTAAATTAAGGACCCTCAAGTCCATTCTTCACACTGCTGTCAGTGACTCTGCACATCCTTGCATAAAACTTAATAGTGGCTTCCCACTGTCTCTCCTCTGCTCACGTTCCCAATTCTAACAGTACTGCACTGTCTCCGGTCGCTCTGCATGCTGGGCTCAATCATCTCAGAACCCTAGCACATGCTGTTCCCTCTGCCTGGATCAATCTCTCTGTCTAGACAAGGTTGGGTCCTCCAGCTGGGTGCTCCCCTGGCACCTGATACTGTCTCATCATCCAATTTTATTGTAATTACCTGTTTAACTATATGCTCTCCTTATAGACACTTAGGGGCAGGGATCATATCTATGTCGTTCGCCTCTAAATCCCCTGAGCCTAGTACAGTTTCTGGCACAGAGTAGAAAGAGGAAATAGATTATCAAGTTAGACTTTGCCAATCTGAATGATCTGTGTGTTGCCTTAAAATC